CTCTGAAGGAGTCTGAGTCAGAATTTGTTGTGTCAAACTGATAGAAAAATGCCAATATAAAATTATAACATCATAGGGCTTGAACGGACCTTAAGGACCACTGAATTCAACCCAAGATGGATGGTGGAGGGGGAAACTGTTGCACTTGGAATAATATCCTGCAAACTCCAGTTCAAGCAGCTCAGCAGCAACTGAGCATGTTCCCCACACTTTTGTATTGGTTTGGTCAATACTTCACAATAAAGGAGGCACTGAAAAAGCAAATACATAGAAAGCATCTATCTGTCAGGTCAGCGGAAAGCAAGTGGAACGGCTACCTAGTTAGTAGGCTGGGGACTCATCTGATATCTTCTGCCTACAGAACTGCAAGCTATTCATCAGAGCAACAGTTGTGACCATCTGTGTCAGAGTTCCAATTATGCTTAAGCAGCAAATGACACAGCCCACGCTTGGTGCTTCAATTCATAAAATCTCCATGGGTTTTTCTGGGGTTTTCCAGTGCTTGGGGGTGGGGATTAATGGGAAAAGGAAAAATACCACACACCAGATTTTTCAGACGTGGGGAAATCACCACACACCCTGCTGCTGGGACCTGAATCAGTGACAGTCCTGCCTCCTCCCACAGCCATGGATATTGAGATAGCTGTTACCAGGCCCTTAGTTTCCATGTGTATTCCAGCAGCTCTCACCTCAGACTTGCTTTCTCACCATGATTCAACACAACCTGCTTGTAATACAGAACAGGCAACACACATTTGTTTTATATAGGCCTTTGCCTAAAGGAATGTAGAAATGCATTTGGGGAACACAGGCTGCATTAGACTGTGACTTCAGACATCTCTATGTTGTTAGAAGATTCTTTCTGTAGAAGCAAATAACTGGCTTCCAGCCTCTGGCCCTGGGACAGAGACAAGGGGGACAGTGGGCAGAAGTTTCAGATGCAGGGAGAAGCTGTTTCCCCATCATCACTGGAAAAGGAAGTAGACATGTGCACTAGGAACATCTCATGCCTGGACAACCAGAAGTGGTAGTCCTCCCCACCTCCCATACAACCACAGCAGAGACAAGCTTCATTCCAGGCCTGTAACATTAAGGGATACCCTCCATAATACCAGGCGTGCCTCAGAGAGAGCATGCGGACAGGAAAGATGCAAGTGAGGCCAGAGAGAACCCTCTCAACAGGGTCCAAGTCAGCAAGAGGAGAGAAGAGGAGAAAGGCTCAAGTGGTGACATGGAAAAAGTCACAGGTGTCCTCAACCACCAGCATTTCCACACTGCTAGAGCCCAGAATGAAAACTGGAAAGCCATCCCAACCTCTTCTTAATCACACCACTGTATGCTGAAGTGGGGACTGCTGCACCAGAGCCAGCCCCCTTGCTGCTAGGAGGTAAACGTGGTCCCAGTACCAGACAGGCCCATAGCAGGCTAGGGAGAAAGTAGGCCTGGGCACCAACTGCGCCCAGTGCCACTAGGTAGCAACATCCAGGCAGCTCTCAAGGTGAAGTGACCTAGCCTGGAACCTGATCAGGCCCTTTGTAAGGAAATCACAGAATCACAGAAATAGAAATTAAGAGCTGGAAGGGACCATGAAAGATCGAACCCAACCCCCTTGCTCTGGGCAGGAATACTGCTGAGATCAAATGATCCCAGCAAGGTGTCTGTCCAGTCTCCTCTTGAAGACTTCCAAGGTTGGGGACTGCACCACCTCCTTGGGAAATCTAGTCCAGATTCTGGTCACCCTTACCATAAAGAAGTTCTTCCTTACATCCAACCTGAAACCATGATCTAACAGTTTATGGCCACTGCTCCTTGTCCTCCCCTGGGGCACCCTCGTGAAAAGTTTTTCTCCCAGCTCCCAATATTCACCTTTACATACTTATAGACAGCCACCAAGTCCCCACTCTATCATCTCTTCCCCAGGCTGAACAGTCCCAGATCCCTTAGTCTTTCCTCATAAGGTTTGTCCTCCAGGCCCTTAATCATTTCTTCTCTGGACCCTTTCCATGTCTTTTTTGAAGTGTGGCACCCAGAACTGGACACAGTACTCCAGCTGGGGTCTCACCAGCACCAAGTAGAGAGGACATACCACCTCCTTAGCCCTGTTCACAATGCATCAACTAATGCATCCCTTTATGCTATTAGCTCCATTGACTACAGCATTGAACTGTCAGCTCATGATCATTCTGTGATCAACCATAACCCCAAGATCCCTTTTCGCCATTGTGCTGGCCAGCACCGACCGACTAGAGCAAAACTTTCTCAAGATGAATCAGTGGGGCCTGGCCAAGATAACAGTAACCTTCCCCAAGCCCTTCTATTAAGGTAAGCAGGGGAGGGATGTAGCATGGGGCCACATCATTCTGCTTCCTTTAAAGGCTTTTTCCTAACAACAAAAGACTTTTCTGTGCACCATAGAGACATAAGACTACAGGGACATTCCATTGGGACTGTATACACAGGGCCCCTGTGGCAGAACGAGAGGGAGATGCATTATAACAGTGGGAATGCCCTGATGTGGCTGGATCAGAAAGTGTCTATTATAACTATTCTTCTTAGGATCAGAGGTTTGTGGACTTTTTCATATTCTGGCCACTTCCTAAAACTGAGCTCCAATCACAGATCAGGCACCTGTCTGACTATGTTTTCACAACACATCAGCTACAGGGGACACAAAGAACAGAGACTCAGTACAGGTTTGAAGAACAAGGGGATGTCCAGATCACTTCACTGCAATGGGCAGAGCTGACTAATTACAGCTCCAGGTGCCACAGCATGATCCTGTTCCATCCCGGAAAAACAGTGAATACAAAATCTGGGGGTGTCCTCTTCCCACCTGCTGCTTGTCGTGACTTAGTGTTAAAGTTGATGGCATGTTACAAAAGTTGGTACACCAGCATTTTTTCAGGGAGTTGAGCAAGGTGGAATACTGAGCTGCCTGATAGGTGGAACTGGATCTAGTCCTATTTCTCTTTTTTTCATTTCCTCACCTCGATGCGGGGATTTACATTTGTTAGGGAAGGTTCTCACTTTACTGACACCCACAACACCCAGCTCTGCTCCTGTCCCCTCCAGTTTTGGTTCCATGTGCAATTCTGACCAGTCCTGAACTTAGAGTCATGAAATATGTGACAAGACACAACATAACTCAGTTGTCCAAGGTGCAGAAAAGACCTAGGTAGCTTTCAGTCCAGCTGATTGAGAAAAGAAACCCCAGATGAGTCCTTGGCTAGAGATCAGCTAGGAAACAGGATCATCACAGGGAGATAAAGAGAAATTTCTTCATCATGATAGGAGCTCCACAACCAATCCAAGAAGTGCTCAAAGTAGTACTCCAGTAGGTCACTGAGAAACACCCCAGCCTTTGCAGCACAACCAGGTAATGCAGATTTGCAACCGCTAGCTAGGGCTCTAGCTGAGATAAACTATGTTGCTTCTAAAGCACTGTGGAGGGAAACATGGAGCCAGTTCTGGGTACCTGCTATTCCTGCCATACCGTGGGATAGTGGAATGGCTGGGCTCCATCTTCTGCATCTCATGGAGACTCTGCTTTTTGATGTTCATGTATTTCTAGCCACAAAGCAGTGGAAAAGACCATGCATACTAGCAAGACCACGTCTAATACAGTAAGCTTGTCATCCCCAGCAGTGGTACCCTGAAGCATGCTGCACTGCTCAGAGCGGTCTGCCACCTAATCCAGAAGCAGTGGAGTTGCATCTCTGTGCTGCCAAAAATGGCCTAACATATCATGGGGGCAGGCTCATCACCCTGGCTCTCAGCTGCACTAAAAGACTGGCCTGAAGTGCTGTGTAAATGTGGCTACACAGCTTTCAGTCTAGAAGCAACATAGATCAGCACGGCATGCTTGTGGGCGCTGCTGCCGGGGCATGGGTTGTCCATGGAGATAAGGTCTTAGTCCTACATCTGAACAAGGGCCCAGACATGCTGCATACATGCAGCCCTATCCAAGCCAGGCAAAAGCAGGTCCCAGGCACTGACTCCTGCCTCATGAGAAATTAGCCAATCGAGACCTGTTCTCCAAAGCCTCTCCTTCCTGCTCTCCTAAAGTGAAGGTGGTGCTGCTTTGGCAGCAAGGGAGCGCAGCTCTCCCTGCAGTAACCCGGCCTCTTTGTTATATTTAAGGAAGGGCCAGGAGGAATTCCAAGGATTTTTTTGGTAAGATAAACAGAACTCTTGACCTCTTCCAGGGAGAAAAGAGAAGGAACCGTTCCCAGTATGAACTGGGTTGGAGTCTGAAAAGAGGGTGCTACTGACAGGGCAGCAGGGGGAACCTGGAGCACTCTCCCACACCTTTCTACCCACCCGCCATGGGTAGCCGGCCATCAAGGGAGTGGAATGTTGCCACAGGGACCATGCCACATCCACCCGCTTCCTCCAACCCACGCAGAGCCAAGCAGGCCTGACCCGCCTTCTTGGCGGGGGTAGAAAACAGCCTCTGGGAGGGGCTCCATGTTCCCCCGCCCTTTGCAGGAGACAGATGGAAGCTCCTTGGGACCGGCTGGGCTCACTGAAGGAGCAGGAAGGCTCAGAAAGAACTTACCACTGAAGGGCAAGTTCATGGCTGCCTCCTCCAGTCAGGCTTCATTGCTGGGATGTGCTCTCTCTCTCTCGCACTTCCGCCCTCACTCAGGCAGGGTCAGTCCCCCAGTACAGACACCAGTGAAAGAAGACTTGCCCACTCCATTTCACACCCTACCTAGGAGTAGTTCCCCTCTCCTGCTCTCTGTGCAACTCTCTTCCTCTCCTGTTCCTCCTCTCTCCTTCACAGCTCTCTCTTTCTCTCCCACTTTCAAAGACTAGCAGGAGAACAATAGGGGAAAGTCTAGGGATATTTACTAACTGATAATCTCTCCACGTATTGCAGCCGGCTGTTTTCCCCTGTCTGATAAAGATTCAGAGCCAACCACTCTCATGGAGCATGGAGGGGGAGGATGTTGGGTTTGAGTTTGGGGCTTTTTTTTTTTTTTTTTTTAAGCACTTACCATTCACCTGCTGAGGGGAGTACGCTTCTGATCCGGAGTCCGGGGGAGAGTCAGGTAAAGTGCTGGGGAGCGATTGAGAAAAAGGAAAGAAGAGAAGGTCATTCCAAGAGAGCTTCCAACAGGACTGATCCATTCAGTCTGCTCACTGCCCGCCCCGGACTCCAGGACAAAACCCAAGCTAGCAGCACAGCAGACACCTCTTGCTGCCCAGACAGACTCCTGTTGGCAGAGGCTGGTGCCCAAGGCACCGGCAGCTGCCTTGCACCAGCCCCTATACCTAGGAGAGGCTGGGACTGAAGTAGCTGTGAACTGCCCTCCAGCTCTTCCCTATAGACAGAGCTACTAGCCAGCACTTCCACAGTATGCTCTTCAACACTAGGGCTGGGGGAGACTGGGACTGGGGTTTCAGGAAGCCCTACATATCCCAGTGCCCCAACCACCCTGACTAAGGTTGGTTCCCCTTGCTGGGGAAGGAGTCGCCGTGCCTCTGGAGGTGGAGCCTTGACACCATTCCCTACAGCACCTCCTTCTGGGAGGGGCTGGGAGCACTTGGAGCAGCATTCACTGCTCCTGCACCACCCCCCACAGTGCCTGCTTTGATTTTATTTATAAGCGTTTCACTTTATAGCCATTCTGCTGACCTGCTAATAAGACTCCTCTCTTTGCTTAGCAGCTCCTGTCCAGTTAAAAGAAGCCAAACAGAAATGTATCTGTTCCCCAGAAAAAGATCATTTGCTTCTCCGCAAATAAAAAGGAGGCTCTGGGGGAGCCTGGCTCTATTCCGGGATCTGAGGCATGAAAGCGAAGGCTGTGAGCCCAAGGGCTAGACTCTGCTCTCACTCACAGCTGTACGAAGGCAGAGCAACTCCACAGGAGCCCGGGGTGCTCCTCTGGGTTTACACCACCGCCACAGAGGGTGGAATCCAGCCCTATCTCTGCAAAACCCAGTATGAACAGGAAACTCTCTGGGCCTAACCAAAAGTACTGAGCCTGTAGACAGAAAGACTGACAACCAGCTTCCTGTGTGCTGAGTGGTACTTGGGAAACAGACCAGGATTTTATTTAGTTGTTATTTATCTATTTTGACTCACACCATGGGGCCAACGCAGGCTCTGGGCATCTGGACACTTCACATCTGGAGGTTCACAATCCAACTCAGTTTGTTCCATATTCTCCTTTTCTGTGCTCCTCGCACAACAGTCAAGGCTAAACTCCTCCTCCCCAATCTTCCCACCCCTCAGGAAAGAGACAGGCCTTGTGATCCACCATACAGATCAAAACAGGGAGGGCTCTGTCAGATTGAGTGCCAGTGCATGCCCTCCCCTCACCTATTCACAGCTATTAGAGATGGTTAGCCATGTTAATCTAAAGTCATGCAGAACCCTCTCTAAAGTCATGCAGATGGCTAACCAACTTAGTGGCTTATACAAGATGTTCTGGGAGACCCAACCCAGTCTCTGATGGTCATATATTCCCCAGCACACAAGCCACTGCCACAGATGACTACAAGAGGCAGCCTCAGCACAGACTGCCAGGACAAAACAGATCTCAGAAGCCAAAAGGCACCTCTCAGCCTATGCCTGGCTGAGGCACCAGGGTACTGAGAGTACGTAGGCTCAGACTGTTATTGCCTGCAATGTCGCTGGGGGTGGTGTCCCCAGTTTGTTTCACTAGCCTAACTGTAGCCTAACTGTACTTAAGCTTAACTGTACCTAAGCAAGTGGACAACTTTACTCACTTTTCCATCAAGCCAGGTTTCACAACAGGCCTGTCACCTTCAGCACTCCACCCCAGCCTGCAGAACAGCTTAGTCTTAGGCAGCTTTTGCTGTGCTGTCTCATCCCATGCTCCCTCTCTCTCTCTCAAACCCTCATTCCTTCTTAGAGTGAAACTGCGACAGGGTCATCTCCTCCTTCCCATGAGGACGTTCTCCCTCTGCTCCCAGACAGAGCCAGGAGCAAATTACTTCTGGACACACAAGCTTAGCCCTATAAGGGTGTCCCACCACACAGCCATGCCAGGGTCCAGGAACCAGGTGTGCACACAAAACCCCAAGCCCTTCATAGAGTAAACAGTACAGCAGGCCAGATGAGCCATCAGAAAGAGACTTGAGAAAGAGTGTGTGGTGAACTGGGGTCTTTCAGAAGAATGCACACAAGCCTCTCTGAAAAAATGTCTAAGTTAGACCCCTCTCTTCACCCCAAAGATGCTTCACACCATGGTGTAATCAGATCTTGTCAGTTACAAAGGCTCCAGAGTTAAGGTGGCAGGTTGCCTAAGAAATGGGGCTGATGCCAACTAAGTCTTTTTATTAAGGGTTTGAGGGAAGAGAGGGAAAATCAACCGACTAAAAGGTGGTGAGCCTGTTTCCTGCTCTCTGCACCACCACCAGGGGGGCATTCTTTTGGATCTGGGTCTTGCAGGCTCCCTTATGTGCCTTCTGCTCCTCTTCCATATTAGTAGGCCCTCTCTCTCTGCCCTTACTTCCCAGACCCTCTGTAGGCTTCCCCATGCTGCCTATAGGGTAAGTACATGATATTTTCCCAATTCTCCCAAGATAGAGAGACTTTAGATCCTCTCCTTTGCCCAGGTTATGTAGCATGGGTCTTCCATTTAGAGGAAAAGGAGGTAACTCCAGTAAGACTGCAAGCAATGCCTTAGCAAAAGCACACCACAGAGGGCATGGGGTGAAGGGTGATGAATGCACTCTGCATACCACTAAGAGTTAGATCTGGTTTGCATGGTGTAGCAAGTGGATCTATAATCTACATGCCACAGAAATCCATGAGAAGTCTGTTTTCCAGACCATTGACAGCATGGGGCAGGTTTGAGGGTGCATGGCACAAACACCTATGAGACAGGGTTTCAAGCTACAGAGAGGCAAAGAGCCCAGAGGCAAACTAGAGTTCAGTACAAATTATTTGCGATTGTGCCATTCTTGTCTTCTGAAGAACAATGTAAGCCTGACGTGTGTGTTTTCTGCTTCTTTGGGAGTGATACCTATCAGGCCTTGGCCTCAGGTCAGCAGGCATGTGTGGGATGATTCCTGGGATGACGTGGAGCCTTCTCAGATCTCAGAGGAAGGGGCGGGCTCTGAGTCAACGAGACACTCATTGAGTGCACTGGAGTTGGCCTGTAATTCTGGGGCAGTGCTGAGCAGGTTGCCGCAGAGGGAGCACAATCAGTTCTCAGCAGGGAGGGAGGGCATGGAAGGTGGAAGAGCTGCACTGAGCTCAAGCTAGTTGAGACTCCCATCTTGCTGAGCTCCAGCTCCTCCCTACATCCTGAGCATCAAGCAGAGCTTCCTCCTTGGCTGTAGCTCCCTGGATCCAAACTATGGGTTATCCAAAATCTTCCAGTGTCCCACAAGACTCAAGCTCACCTGTACCAGTGTTGAGGCAAGACACCCCACAAGCCAACAGGCAGGTGAGCTGACAGTGCTTACAGAGCAGGGCTGCAGTCCTTAGGATTACCATCACGTATTCCATGCAGGCCTGCAGCAACCAGTATAGTGAATAGCTGGAATGCTCAAGATGTGACCTGTGCTGGGCTGCTTCTCATTTCATAGACAATGAGCAAAAGAAATCTCAGTCTTATCTCCCACACTGGGAATAAAATGAGAACAGATACAAGAACCAGTTTATTTACTTATTTCCATCTCTTTCATGAGGATCTTTCTGAATTTCTCCAGTGGGCCAAGTCCTTCCCAAGGATGAATTTGGCCCAGCAAAAAAGAAAAAGTCAAGAGCAATGCACAACCTTGCACCAAACAAAGGCCTCATCCCAGCTTTGACCTCTGCATCGAGCACCTACTCACATCAGTGAAGGAGGTGGTCCTTGAAGTACCACAGCAATGCCAACTCACTGTCTGTCTTGGAGGGGTGGGCGATGCCAGGACCTTTTGGATGCTGTAGCAGGTGGAGCTATAGGGAGAGGATGTAGCCAGACTGCCAGGCAACACATAGAGAACAAGGAGGAGAGAGGGTGTGGTATTGCAGAGGTCCATTGCTATCTGCCTGATGCCTGACTTCCTGACTTATTTCTCAGGAGTCTGCATTCACACTGAGTAAGGAAAGTTTCTCTCCCCGCAATACAAAGTAAAGAGGCCTGGAGAATGTACCAAGCCAGTCTAAATGGGTTTCCAGGAACCAAAGCTTTGATCTAATCATAAAAGCCTTGAAGCTGTGAGAAGTTCAGCATTGGGGCCCACTGCATCCAGGAAGCACACACCCTCTCTCAGCTCAAAGAGCTAGGGTACATTTTCCCATGGATATAATGGTTCATAGATTCATAGAAGTAGGGTCAGAAGGGCCCTTGTAGATCATGAAGTCCGACCTCCTGCCCTGGGCAGGAGAGAAAACTGGGCTCAAATGACCCCAGCCAGGTAGACATCAAGCCTCCTCTTAAAGACCCCCAGGGTAGGAGCCAGCACTACTTCCCTTGGAAGTTGATTCCAGATCCTAGCCACTCTGACTGTGAAGTAGTGCCTTTGGATGTCTAGCCTAAACCCACTCTCTAACAATTTGTGGCTGTTATTCCTTGTTACCCCTGGGGTTGCTAGGAGGAACAGGGTGTCTCCTAGACCCTGCTGGTCCCCCCTGGTGAGTTTATAGATGGCCACCAGGTCCCCCCTCAGCCTTCTCTTGT